CACACAAACACACACACACACATACACACATGACCTCATGCTTTAACAAGTGTGTTTCTTCTCCGTCTTCCTATGTGCTCTGTAAGTAATTTGAAAGTAAACCTGCTGCTCACCAGAGCTTTGAATGTAATTTAGATTTCTCTGGGTTTAATGCGTGCACTCTCTCCGACCTTCCATACGTCGGCTCACCTCCTATGATATCATTCTTGTGTCACTCCATATCACTGGTTGCAGGGTATCACTGAACATGTGTTGTTGATTAGATTGTCATCGAAGGTAAACCTGGACAGAGCGCTGGGAACAGCGTGGCCATCTTTGAGATCCACATAAGCCCCGGATACTGCCTGGGTCAGTTACTTCACACACCGCACACATCTTTCTTTAAACAAAAAGAAAAACATTATTCACACACATACGTTCCTTATACTGACACACAGACACACACGAACATATTTGGTACATTATCAAGTTAAAAGCTTTCTGCCTGTTGCTGATTTCTCGTTTTTCTGTGTGCAGAGTGTGATTTTGAGGAGTCTCACCTGTGTGGATATACTAACCAGTGGAACGCCAATGTAAACTGGTATGTTGGAGGAGGCGGGGTCCAGCTCCTCAATAACAACATACTAAATGACCACACCTACAACAACAAGACAGGTGAGTGAGATTTACATGATATTCATACAAAGGTACTGGACAGATTTGGATGAAATGAGCAGGTGAATGGTATTTAAAGAAATTCTATTATTTAATAATTTTTCTACACTTTTATATTTTGTATAGTTTTGGCCATAATTTATATTAGTTATAATACAGATACAAACAGTTACACCCCACCTTAAAATATAAATCTCTATATTTTTCATTTTGTCAACAAATCCTATTAAAAGACCAGTCCATAAGAAGACCAAAAGAACAGCTGGGCACAGCTGTTTTTGGCAAACATCACTCCAACAGGACATTTGTTGGGGACTATTTTCAGTGGTGGATTAATACAAATTTGGTGTTCTAGTGTTTACTGCAGCAGGACAGTATATGTGGGACTGAATCAAAATAAACTACAGTGTGTGTGTTCATGGTTATGAAAGAAAATGTCACCCAGTGCAACAGTGTGGCTCACTGATGTGTTTTTCATAGAAGAAGAGGATATATCAGGCTTTGGGCAAAAAACACAATACTTAGTAGGATCAATGCATTATTGGTTTTGGTCCTGTAATGGAATTTTTTGACAAAAAAAAACCATATAGAATAACATCAGCCTTTAATGTGTTGAGGATGTGGCACCCCTGTCATATAACTGTTAGTGGCACCTAATAAGAGGTAAAAAACTGCCCTGATAGAAGCAAATAAAACTCACAGAGGAAAAATTCCACTATAATGACCTGTGTTTCCTTCATCCACCTACAAAAATCTATGAACATCTCTTTTGTCTTGGACACATTCAGTTGAAGAAAAGGCTGATCAAGTGTTGTTTAAACAATATTTAAGAATGATATTTCAATGTTGTTAAAACATGTATGTAACCATATTTTGCTCAATTTTAATGATCTGTAAATCACCATACCAATGCTTAATGTGTGTGAGTAAATTCTGAAACTCTCATGTCTCAAGTCAAAGTCACTGGGACACTGCATTTCACAACCTGACTCATATTTAAACTCCCGCTCAGGCCACTTGATGTACGTGGACTCTGTCTACGCCAAGACTTTTAAAGAAGTGGCCAAGCTGGTGTCACCCATGACGACGGTTCCGATGTCCGGCTGCCTGAGTTTTCAGTACCAGCGAAGTGAGGAGAGAGGAAACCTGTTCTCAGTCTTCACCAGGGACCCGCTGGGTCAGTACCAGGAACTGTGGAGGGCTGGGACAGAAAACCAGAGCGACTGGACGCTTGGAGAATGGATACCTGTGCAGGTGGACATGAAAGCACCATACTCTGTGCAGGTCAGTATGAACATGTCATTGTTAAGCTGTATGTGACTTTTACTAAACAGATATACCCCAAATGCAAAAATGGAAATAAAAGTGCAGTAGAAGAGCGAATCAATCAAAGGCACATGAGAACAGCAGGTTTCTTTTATTTTGATTTTTAAGTGGCTGGGGTTGGGGCACATTTGAGATAATTCAGTAGTTGGTTCCATATGTGTGCAGCATAGTAGCTAAAAGCAGTTTAACACTGTTTTGTTCTGCTGGGTTTATATTCTTCGAGGAGATCGTTAAGTATTTATTTCAGGATTATTAGCAGCAGCTCTTTAAAATCTAGTTTTATAAATAACTGGTAGCCAGAATAAAGATTTAAGAAGAGGAGAAATGTGCTCAGTTCTCTTGGTTCTCGTTAGAACTCTGGCCACAGTGCTCTGAATGAGCTGGGGTTGTCTGAATGTCTTTTCAAGAGACAATAGTCCACCCTGCTGGAAATTAAGGCATGAATGAGTTTGTCTTAATCTTGTCTCGACACAAGACATCTAATTCTTGATTTCTAACTTGGATTTTTGTCTTTATAACTCTGGAATCAAGCTCAGCAATAACTTTAATTCTTTCCTCCTGGTTGACAATGATCTCCATCTTGTCTTTATGTAATTGAAGGAAATGTTATGATTGACGTTGATAGAGTGAATCTAAGGGACCATAGACACTTGGTGGAAGAGGTAAATAAATCTCAGTGTCATCTGTAAAACTGTGATTAAAGGGAGATTATGTAACTTTTGAAGGAAGAAATAACACAGTCTTTGTCTTACAAATGAAAAGTTGAATTAATAAGAAATAAAATGCATGCTTGCTCAGTCCAATACACTCAGGGGTTTTGCTGCTACAGCCTCACTTGGTCTGGTATGACCAGCAGTCAATGGTGGCTAATGTTAACAGATTTAACATAATAAATTAACTTTACCAACTCTTCTGTACTTGTGCTACTGTTACTCTACATTTTAGCTCTTTTAGATCACCTACTGTTGACATCTTTAAAGCAGCTGACTCAAGAGAACCTTGGGAAATTTAGGGAAATTCAATGTGCCATTATCCTAATTGTGTAAAAATTATAGTCCTGCTTTAACTTTTTACCAGCATTGTGTTTTACTCCTAAAAGATTATTATTATTATTGATGAATTAACTTATATACCTACTCTATATCCATATACTGCTGATAAGTTTAAACTGTAGAAAATAATCATATTTAATGACCTTATAATACTTCACATGTAAAGCTTCTGCGAAGTAACCACTAACTACAGACATCACAGTAAAATGAATTTACTCTTGAAATATAACAATGGAGTGAAAGTTAAAAAATCATTCAGTTTTTTTCTGCCTTTGAACCTACAGTACTTAGTTCAGCTTCTGTAAAATGAATAAAGAATTGTTAGTGCTAGTACCTCAAAACTGTACTTAAGTTGTGCATACATTTACTTCTGTGTGAGGGTATGCAGTTGCGTGCACATAATTGCATGCAGCTTTGCTTATGAGGGTCTGTTTCCATGTGTCTGTCTGCCTCGCCAGGTGGTCTTTGAAGTGTCCTTTAACAGTCCCAGAGGCGGACGCGTTGCAGTTGATGACATTTCCTTTTCTCCAGAGTTCTGCAGTACAGACACTGGTGAGCTGCAGCCTGTTAATTCATAACAGGCTCATTTTAATGTCACCATTATAAAAGTCCTATTTATGATACGATTCTTTCTGGGTGAACATCCTAAACATCAGCAGCCTGTTGCACAAGCTGTGTGTAAGTTCAACTGTAGCCTAGTTATAATATAAATTATTACTAAGTTGTGATTTATGCAATACTAAAAATAAAAGTGGTTGCACCACAGAGATAAGACACAGCCTAACTCTAAGTAACAACTAAATAGTTACACATGCCCCTGAGGTGGTGTAAATCATAAAATCCCAAAAATAAAATTTATGGATATGATATTGAAATATCGATCTAGTTTACTATAATGTGCTATGAAGTGGCTAATGCCAGCCAGCAAGCACCATTACCATGAGGAACAATATCTTTGATCACTGATTGGCCACTTGCCTAAATTATGCCGAAAGTGATTGTGGTGCAATCACTTTAAGGAACTGATTAAGATACAAACTAACTAGTAGATACTAAGTGTCTAGTGTCGACTTTACACCATAACTTAAGGTAGAACATACTAATAGCTTAAAGCTCTATTAGCAGCCCAGAGAACCTGCAATAGCCATGAGATTTTTAAGTTTGTCCTAAGGGTTTGGACCATGGGGTCAACCAAAAGGTTACATCCTAAGCATGAACATGCTCCCTAAACTGTATAGCCATGTAGCTTTTAGATTTTTCTTTAGATTTCCTCTGTACAGTTGAAATATTGACCTGACTGTGGCGCTAGAGGAAAAGTCAGGAGAGTCCTGAAAATGTATCACTATTACTAAAACCAGACACACAAAAATGTCATGTGGATTCCATACATTTGTTCCACAGAGCCGACCTTTGACCCTTCCATCGCCAACTGTGACTTTGAGTCAGGTCTGTGCCGCTACAGCGAGGACAAGCTGACGGGGTCATCGTGGAGGAGAGTATCTGTGAAGCCCAACATATTTAGGAACGGAGACCACACCACAGGGGCAGGTGGGATAAAACAACTAATATATAATATTTAAAGCTGCATTGCAAGGGCAACTCCACCAATATTACATATCAAAGTCTGTTGGGAGCTGGAAGTAGGCTACTGCATATGTGAAGAAAGTTGAAGAAAAGCGTTGTGGCTCTAGAGGGTGCTGTTTGAAGTCTGATAAATGTCCTCAAGTGAGTTCTGTAAGCTCGAAGATTAGCTTTTACTTGCATAAAACACCAAAATCTGTACAGTTGAATGAATCGAGTCGAGTTGCATTGTGGGTAAGGCAGGTGTCAGGTTTTGACAGTGAGACAACAATATCACTGGTTCTGCTTCACTGATTTTAATAAATTTTTTAAAAACTTTCCATTGTAATTATTGTATAGGAGTTTTATTTATTATTTATTTATTTCTGATTATCGTTGGGTCAAATGACTGTGGGGGACAGTTGTAGTGCCAAAATCATGGAAATAATGTGATGAATATACAGCTCTATTGAGCATTTTAGCCTCTTTTAGCTTATTGTTTTGGTTGTACAGCACATTTACTCTCTGGTTCAGTAGGAAGACTCGAGTCACAAATTTGATGAGTTTAGAATCAACCTAACAAAATCAAAAGCCATGCAACTTCACTCGAACTCGTGACTTTCCTTGGTCTTGAGTTTTGACTTGAAAATACTTGGCAGCTTCCCCCAAGGCCAAAGAGTGACATTGTATGTCATTTAAAAAGTGTTCCATGACTACAAACTGCAGTCATGGCTACTGTCGGACAAATATTTTTGGTGGTAGCAGCAAACAGAGCTGAATATTCAGGTGGGCACAAACACAACTCCAAATGGATGATAATGTTACTGCATATCTTCTGGGTGTGTAATTTTTTTCCTAACACATTAGCCATTACAATTTAACAAGCCAAAACAAGTGATTTTGTCATGGCTGTGTATCTGTCAGCTTGTTTAGATTTTTTTCTGACCCCTTGTTGCCCAAAATCAGTTCGCGCAGCTTTAAAAACAGTAAAACCTTTAGATGAGGATGCAGTACTGGAGAACAACGCAGGATTTGAGACAGAAAAAGGTTGAAAACTGTTCAAATCAAGATCAATGCCAGGTGCGAGTGGTGATGGGAGCATCATGGAAAACAGATTCAGAGGAAGAGAGAGTTTTGCGAGGAAATAAATGCTGTCTTCTCCTTCCAGGATCTTTCCTGTTGACTCACTCCCGGCTGGGCCCACGCTACAATTACTTCAGCTACCTGAATGGACCATATCTGCCTGGGAACATGAAGTACTGCCTGAGATTTTTCTTTTCTATGAGGGGTGAGTGGCATCCACACACTCTCTGGATTTGTTGTGTTGTTTGCGAGAATCCTGTGCTGTGATTTATTTGACTGACTCACCAACCCGAAATAACTCAACAACTGCAGGTTTCAACCAGACGGACCGGGCTCTGGCAGTGTATCTGGAGAATAGGCAGAATCTGAACCGGGAGAAGATCTGGACTCAGGGGGAGAAGTCCAGAGGAATTTGGATTGCAACAGACGTCACCTTCCAAACGACAGAGCATGCCAGGGTTAGAAGAAAGAAACAAAGTGGAAAGAAAGAAAGCAGAAAGGAGGGGATGACAGAACAAAGGAATAAACAAACAAATTAACGACTGAATTAATAAAGGAAGAAAGAAAGAAAGAAAGAGAAAAAGAAAGAAAGGGAAACAAAAATCCATGAATACATGCAGGATGAAAGGAAGGAGGAGGGAGGAGGGGGAGGAATAAAGACAAATGAATCACTAAAGGAAGGAAGGAAATGACAAAAAAAAATTATGAAAGAGTAAAAAAATACAGACAGAAGAAAGGAAGCAAGAAATGAATAAATGATCAAGAAAGAAAGGGAGGGAAGCAAGAAATTTGCAAATCAAGGAACAAATAAATGCAATAATACTGGAACGAAGAAGATGGTAAAGATTAAAGCTGCAGTACGTAACTTAAAAAACTTAAGTTACATTTGCTGAACCGTTCACTATATCCTTACAATAGTACATGAGCCACATAATCTTTGAAAAACATCTGGTTTGTCTGGCTCCTCCTAGTGCTCCTAATGGTATTTGCTACTAAACTACTGCTACTGCTAGAAAAGCAAATGAATGATGAAGGCGCTCTGTGATGATTGTGCTGAGCTTAATGCTAACATCAGTGTGATAACGTGCTCACAGTTACAGTGCTAACATACTGATGTATATCATGTATAATGTTCACCATGTTAGTTGAGCGTGCTAGCATTTTCACAACATAGCTAACATAGTATAAACCAAGTATTGGACTAATTGAAATTTTCATCACCAAAGTTATTACAATTTGTCCCAGTAAAACCAAAAACATAAACCTGCTGGTGGCGCTGGAGAAAAAGTCCGGGAGGGCATATTTCAGTCTGGATCAAAGTGGTCAATGGACCAACTGTTACTATTGCTACACCACTGGCCTGGCCAATAAAAAGGGAAACAACTATTTCCAAATACATTTTTAAGGAACCACTTAAGGAACAAACACTAAAAACTCAAATAAACAAAGAGATTAATGGAAAAAACCCAAACGAAGGAAAGAAGGCAGGACAGAAAAACAGGATGACATAATGAGTAAAGAAACGAATCATCAGTAGTTTAATAGAAAGCTTTACTTTCTGTTCTGATATGTGGTTTCTTTTATTTACTCAGCTGTTAGAGGACACAGTATCATCATCATGTGCTCTGTGTGATGAGTATTAATGCATCTGGGTGCCAAAGGGCTCAAAGGCTTTCCCAACACTCGCCTTTTGTTCCTCACTTGACATTTGCCGTTTTAAAACCCTCACCATTTGATTGATGATTTCCTTTCTTCCTCACGTGGGATTTCAGAATCTCACACAAACATCAGAGCAGAAAGTGAGCAACAGCTACAGCAAAGTCCTTGTTTTTTATTCGAGTCAGGGCTGATTTGTAAATGATTAATGGCTGTAGTGTGCGGGATGGTGAAGCTGATGCCCACTGTTCTCACCTTTGCTCTTCAGGTGATTTTCATCAGCACCTGCAATGGCTTCTGGGACTGTGGCTCTGTGGCTTTGGATGACATCAGCTTGAGCCTCGGAGACTGTGAACTGACAGCAGGTAAAAACTGTACAACAGTATGTACCCACATGTTGCAGCCAGATTGTAGCTCTAACTAAATCCAGTCTGGGAATTAAGGCTGGATTGTTAACTGGGCAACTGCCCCGGGGTCCCATGACTGGCACAGGCCCCAAAGGTTTGAGGTAAATCCCACTGCATGTATCTACTACTGATTAATCCCTGATTTCTAAGGAAAAATAGTATCAACTACAGACAATTTTGACTTATTTTTGAATTTTGAATTTTGAATATTTTTATACTGTATAAATCAGACCAGCAGGTGGGGGGTTAGTAGGGGCCCAAACATACAGGGTCCTCCCTTAAAAAGGAAAATCTACAAAAAAAAGTCTCCTATCTCCTCTTTGTAAACCTTTTTACTCCATATTTGCTTGTTTGGGGCCATTAGGTCAGCCATGGGTTTCAGAGATGCTGTAAAGCACTATTTGTAGAGAAAGGAAGACAAACTCATGTGACATTTGCCCAGCTAAACTCCACACTTAGATAATTGCTTACTGGCAAAGTGCCTACAATACCTGAGATTCATTATGAAAATAGACATTTAATGTTCAAAATTAAAGGACCAGTGTGTAGGAATTCATTGTATCAAATTCAATTTAAAGTCCAGAGAGATGCAGCTGAAAATGGTTTGCTGATAGTTGTGTTTGAGCATTGAGGGTTACCAACAGAAAGCCTTATTCATTTTCCTGTTGTAGGGTCGTTGTCGTCATTGTCTCTCCCGGGACACTGTGACTTTGAAGCCGGCCTGTGCGGTTACACTCAGGACAAGCAACAAGACGATGCTGACTGGGAGTGGAGGAGAGGACCCACCCCGACCTCGTACACGGGGCCTAGAGGAGACCACACCACGGGACTCGGTGAGGGCCTCCACAATAACCTGCTTACATGTCTCAATGCAGACAGTACACAGGCATGCTCAAAAAGAGATCAAAAAGGTTCAAGTGTTTATTCTATAGGACAAAAATACACACTCTTCTGGTACTGCTCACACAGCATGATTGATTGACAGGATACTACCTGCACATGGAAGCGTCGCCCATGCTGCCCGGTCAGAGAGTCCGACTGCTGTCCCGCGCTCTGAGGGGCTCCAGGGGGCCTCAGTGTCTGCGCTTCTTCTACCACATGTACGGCTCAGGCACGGGCCAGCTCAGCGTTCACCTTGGCAAGGACGGAGAGGACGTGTTGCTGTGGCAACAAAGTGGCGAGCAGAGCATCGCCTGGCTGCGGGCCACAGTGGAGTACCAGTGTGACAGCCAGCATCAGGCAAGACTGCAAGAAAATGTCTCCTGACTGTTTTATATTAAAAGCCTGAGTGATGGATGTGGGCGACTATGGCAGAAAGCGCGAATCATTGGCAACTAGCTTTTTTTTAAGGAATAAACTGCAATTAGAGTGATTATTTCTCACTACAGATTAGTATATTTTTTGGGGGGGTATTTCCATCTTATGCAACATTATACTTCTGCTCCACAACGTTTCAGATGGAAATATTGTACTTTATAATAATATTTTACATTAAGAAAACATGTGATAAGACTATAAAATACACTTCATTATTAAAGATTAAAGCAGTGGTTCTCAACCTTTTTAGCTTGTGACACAATTTTAAAAAATGTGTGTCTTGTTGGAGCCACTTTTGGCCCCAACAGTTAAAATGATCCAATATTCACCCAAAAAGATTGGAGAAAAGTGATGCTAGTAAGCTAACAACCTAATGATGTCATATATAATAATACAAATCTTCTTATTATGGTCTCTCTCTGTCTCTGTTTCAGATTGTGTTTGAAGCGATCAGGGGTTCATCAGTGATGAGTGACATCGCCATTGATGACATTGCCTTGGAAGGCGGTCCTTGCCCAGGTAAACAATCTATTTAGTTATATATACAGCTAAAGTTTAACATCCGATAATGCACATGGGAATTACCTGAATGTCTGTAATAGCAGCTTTCTGACTCCTCTCTGACCCCCCTGCAGAAATGAAGATCAAGGCCACCGCGGGAACCTCCAACGAGATCGAGTAGGAGGCGAGAGGAGAGCAGCTGTGTAGGATGCATGAACCCCTCCTTATTTTGCACATTACTCCTGACTCCTACATGTCAATCTGAACATGTAGGGATGTGGGTAAAAAGAAACTTCTCACGTAGTTCTGTTTTCATGGAGCAACACATATCAGTTGTGTCATAGTCAGCATTTTCTCTGCACTGTAGCCACAGAGAGTGTGTTACACTGTGTTTTTCTTCACATTTATATGCATTAGATTAATGCTCATTGCTCAAATAAAGCGAGATTACTCAACAGTATTTCTTCCTTTCATTGGTAACTGCTGAATCCAGTGCTTTACTGTCACCTAGAGGGAATATAGCTTAGCATGATCTTAGCAGGAAGGATGTCATCATTTTGGTATCATAACTCATAACAGTGAAAGAGAACATATAATAACAATGAAAACTCACCACTAAGCTGCAGTTATTGTATGCAGGTGTTTTTAAGCCTACATGGAGGAATGATGCAACTACAATCCCCATGTGTTTTGGCTGTGCCTGAAAAAGAAAATGGATTTCTTCTCAACCATTACACAAGCAGTCAGGCATTGATGGAGTAAAATAAATATGGTAGATGATATATTTGCTTTTTAAACAAAAAGGTTTTTGTAAAAAGAAAAGAATATTATCTTGTGTACATGTTTTTGTGACAATTTTGACTAACTGAAATATTGACTCTATGGGACATTTTACAGTTGTTAAATAAACATGTCAGTGCTCTCTGGTGGATAAACAATGTAATGGAGACACTTCACACTTAAATATAGGATAGCTTTGCCAATCCTTGTTACCTTTTGAGCAACTTATACACTGTGTGTTACAGACTGGTGTCGAGGTCAACACAACTCAGAAATTAAAGATGATGACAGGGTCCTAGAAGGTCAAGTAGAATACCGGAATAGCCAATGTGGAACACAATAAATGATTTAAAGGAGAAAGTTGTCAAACAGTAAATGAAAAGTATCAGAAACAAAGGTTTCCTCAGCCCCTACTCACATGTGGGGAGTATGATTAAACTGAATGACAAATGCAAATATTAGTCAGTTAAATACTGTATGGTTAGAGCGAGTTCAGAGTGCTTATTCTGCACCCAAACAAAATGCAGCTGACAGAGATAAAACCAATATATTCAGATTTATTAGAACCACATACATACATATACTGTACATTTCAATGAAAAAGAGATTGAGTCTGTAAAGTTTCATTTGGTCCCACAGATGGTTGTTACATGATACACGTCCCGTCTTTCAGGTATTTCATAGTCTCCATCTGCTGGGTCATTGCCAGAACTTCCTGAAACCCGGTGCTGAGTCCAGACATGTGCTGGAAGTACGCCTCCTTCTCCACCTGGACCGACAGGTTGTTCACACCAGCGTCTTTCAAAATGGCTGTCACCTAGGAATCAGGGGAACCAGAGTCACTGACCAGCCACTCAAAATGACTTGCCAATTCTAGGGACCATTAATATGTACAGCACAGATCATGGATCAAAGTAGCCCTCAGATATGGACTCTGCAGTCAAACATCAGTATGCCTCTTATTCTACCTGCTGTACGATCCTCTGCTCCACCACATCGGACATGATCTGGAGGTGGATGGTCCCTGCGATCATGTTGGCCGAATGCCTCCAGAAATGAGGGTCTCTGTACGACAGAACTCCTTCAATCTTCTCGATCTGAAATTACACTCAGGAGAATTAACATCAGGAAAACAATTCTTTAACTTTCTGATGATGGGGCGATAAAGTGGTTTACTGTTGCCACGGCAATGATCAAGATGTTCTTGAAGGAGTTACCTTGTCTTGATGGGAGTGCTTTGGAAGTGTCATTTTTTTCAAGAAAATGGGAAATTTACAGCAAATACAATAAGTTAATAATAAGTTCAAAAAGAAAATTATCATTTTATATACTGAACTACTGCAATAGAATAGAAAATGGTGAAATTTCCAAGGTCTGCACCAAAAACTAAAAACTTTTTGCCCCTTCATCCTGCAGCCTGACTTTCCACCAAATTTCATTAATCTGACATGTTTTTGAGATATCCAGCACCAAACAAACATTTCTTCTTGGCGGAGGTAAAAACCATCACATTTCATGATTTCAAATCAGTAGACAAGAACCAAACTTAACAAAATGTACACTGATTACCAGACTTCTTCACACAACAGTGAAAAAACTGCCATGTATCCTCTCAGCTCACCTCACAAAATTAAGAGAAACAAACGTCAAACGTCTGCATCCTCCCTGATTATAGACAGTTAGTTTGATGGACAAAAATCCCCATCTGCAGTAACACTGTCCTCCTGTGTGACTCCTCACCTTTTCCAGTGCGCTGTTTAGGTCCTTCTCGTTTTCTGGGGGAGCTCGTAGAAGAAGAACCTCGCAGGCGTCCTTCAGCAGAGGGATGACGCTGAGAAAAATAAGCGTGGCGATGAAAAGCGAGCAAATAGGGTCAGCGATCAACCAGCCGAACTGACGGATGAGGATGGTGGAGATGATCACGCCGACGCTGCCCAACGTGTCAGCGAGGACGTGGAGGAAAACACCTGGGAGAAAAACAAACATGAGGGTTTGAATCTGCTACAACTGTCATTCTACAAAGCTCTATTTTAGAGCATTAACGGAAACACAAACCTCTCATATTAGCGTTCATGCCTCCGCCCCCCGAGCCATGAGAGTGCCCGTGTCCGCCGTGCCCGTGTCCTCCGTGAGAGTGGCCGTGCCCTCCGTGAGAGTGGCCGTGTCCTCCGTGAGAGTGGCCGTGCCCTCCGTGGCTGTGCTCGCTGTGGGAGTGGCCGTGGTCATGTGAAGAGCAGCTTTTGCTGCCGTGGGAGTGAGCGTGACTGAACGCGCAGATACCCACCAGGTTGACCAGTAAACCTCCGACGGACACCGGCTGCAGAAGACAACTGTCAGATTCCGAGCTTCCAATCTTTTAAAATGTCAACTGTAAACAGATGGACTAGACTCGAACACAAACACTATACTTTTCCTGATACCTTGCTTTGCTGAGTCACAAAATAGCAGCTATATAATGTTTGCACTGCCAGTGTTTTGCCAGGTTTGATAAACAAATGACCACGTTCAACAAAACCTGTATGTTAGGGCAACATTTTTAAGTAAATATGGAATCTGATTATTATTCTCCATGTTCCTGTTTGGGTTTCTTTAATGAGGCTGACGTGTTAAATTGATGACAGATGATGCAGACCACTTATTTCTCAATGCAAAGCTTTTACATTGAAAATAATACTTAATATTAAAAGGCTCAGGACACACTAGATAAATGTTATTAAAGTACATCAAGTAGTTTCAGTCACAGGCCTTTACATCAAGCGGTAGATGCAGTTTACTCACAGTCAGCATGTCTGTGTTTATATTAGGAGGATCCAACACACGGGTGACTGACTCCATAAAGACAAAGAAAGCAATGACCATCAGGAACAGGCCGTTGATGAATCCAGAAAGTATTTCAACACGACCATAACTGCAAAAACAAGAGCCAGTATTTAAACACCCAGCTGAATTTTTGAATATCTTAAATTTTTCCTATATCGCCTACACAAAAGTATTTTCATAAGTTCTGGACTTTACCCGTAGGAGAAGATCCTGGTAGCTTTCCAGCGGGTCATCAGGGCAGCAAACAAGCCGAGGACTAAAGCTGAGCAGTCGAATAGCATGTGGAAGCCGTCGGAGATCAGTCCCAAGCTGTTGGTCCAAACACCATAAAACAGCTCCACAAAGGTGAAGGCCTGAAACATGCAGAGCAACAAACATTACATCAACTCACAAGAACAAGCATCTGAAGTCAAAGCGAACTCTACACACCGCTCTCAAGTCTGAAAACGTCTGAGTTATAAATATGTCCATATGTCTCAAAGCCGCCTCCACACACTCCCAGAAGGCTTTATTGTACTGAAATCTCATCATTTTTCCTGTTTGCGCTATTGTACCTCTATTTACAAAGCTCTTATTTTGAAATCTGACATTTTAATCCATAAATTGCCATGGCAAAACAATTATTTTTGTAGCACTGCCAATTTTTCACCCCCTTCCCTTCCCTCAGTGGTGAGCTTTCTCTCCCAGACATTGTACATACCAGGTTGAGACACAGGAAGTAGAAGATCTGTCTGGAGTCGTACTCCTCCAGGATCTGTTTCAGAGACTCTTTGATGAACCGCGGGAGGGACTGCGACGTGTGCTGCAGGGCGTCACCCATGAAGTTGTACAGAGGGGTCCCTTCGGGCGAGTAACCCACCAAGGTGCCCTTCTGACCTTTCTTTGACGGAGACGAGAGAATACTGGAGGCTGCAGAGAGAGAGAGAGAGAGAGATGGGGGAGGACATTTACAGTGTGCAGCTTCATATCCCATGAGCCTTTTGCATATCGTCAACCCTTAATGACAGCTTTATTTTCACTGTTAAATTTAAAATACTGCAAAAGTAGACAGATATTTGACTTAATAAACACCAGAAACTTGTTTTTCATAGAGAATGTTGAAATAAAGAGATACATAAACATAAAATAAACATCCATAAATGCTTTGTTGGTGCTAGGCAACACCTGCGTGCACCAAAATAGGAAATTACCTGCACAGTACTTTCTTGAGCTCAAGAAGAGGGATTATCTGAGGTAAGTTTTATATGATCAACAGCTGCACGATGATTATGATTTCAGCTCAGTTCTATCTTTAAAAAACACATTGCTGCTGACTCCCACAGCTGCTACTTACACATGATGAAGAATACGGCGCTGACTAGTACTCCTCCAGAGAGCACATGCTCCGTGCTGACCTGCTGGGGCGGCTTGCTCATGGAGCGCAGCTGGTCGGTCAGCGGGTGAGTCCAGAAGTTGGCCAGCAGCAGGGCGCTGAGGAAGAGGGCGATGGTGCCGTAGCGGGCGCATCTCGGCGTCTCCATCTTTGCGTTGCAGACGGCCTCGACGTAAAACTCCAGGATCATTACGGAGAAGATGATCATCCCGAACGGCAGGATGAGGGACGACCACGATTCTACTTTACTCTGGTGTTGAGAGGGAGGGAAAAAAAGAGAGTTCAAATAAATGGTCTAATCACATAGATGTCTTAGGCCTTCCTAACAGGGGAAAAATAGGATGACAAAAGACAACAATTCCTGTGACTTATATTTCATAACTTGAAACAGAACCTCTAGTTTGGCTATTTGGTGGGTAAATGTAAGTAACATAAGTTCTCCCTGGCTAATTTATATTCTCTCAGAAATAAAAAGAAACCACAAAAAAACTTTACTTCTGTGGTTGCTGAGAGCACAATGACCCAGGGCAGCAGCACCATGGCAGAAACCAGGTTGTCAAGGGCATAGAGGCGTTTTGCACCACCAATTTCCACTGACAGTTTCCTGGAGGCAGTGTGGAAGCCCACCTTCAGGCACAAGGAGGCCACCAGCAGCACAACACCACCCTGACGGAAAGACAGAGGGAGGACATTAAGTTAGGAAGCAAAACCAATACTTAACTATGCTTCTGTAGGAAGCACTAAACCTACAATTGAATGTGTGACACAGGCTTTGCTTACTTTGTGATCTGCAACCCCTAAAAATGCAATGGCAGTGTAGAGGAAATGAGTGAGCGCGCTGTCATGATGTCCCTCAGCTGGTTAGCAGATGAGTCAAGGCAAACACAACACAAACAGAGAAACGCGATAATGCGCAAACAGACTGCAGCAATAACAGTGAAAACTGATGCAACTGCTGCCCTTCAAAAGATGGAAAGGATACGGTGCTCTGCCATCTTTGCCATGAGATCGTCGTTGTCAAAGAGGAGGAGGCAGATCACAGCGATGATGAATAAAGCGGCACCTCTGGTCTGTGGACAGTCACGGACAAACAAAAGACAACGCAACGCTTATGACAGACTTCTGCCACAGGAATATATTCACCTGAGGCAGTACACACAGTCCAACATAGTTGTTTCAGTTCAAGCTGTGTTTGAGCTTATGTCAGTCACAAAATGCTCTCTGAAAATATGAATTCTGGTTAATTACAACTTCAGTCTTATTTTCAGTTTTTGCCACCATTTCTATTAGCTATGATCATGTTGTACTCACCAAAGTAATTGCTGAGATCTGAGTACAATGTTAGTATTACTAATAGGAATGATGGCTAAAACAATAAAAATAAGTTAATGTAATAAATAATGTTGTAGGAAACTACCAAAGATCCTTTAGAGGCACTGAAGCGTTTTGGTTGCGTTAAAGATCTGACCACTTATCAATACTTCAAGAATAATGGTTTAAATAGTTTATGGGACATTTCTTTTCATAAATACAAGTTTCTGATTTTAAATCATTTGTGTCCTCCTACCTTGGACGGCCCGCCTCCGGAGCTTGTGAACAGGACACCGAGGAGAGCAATGACCACCACGTCACTGTGCTCAAAAAGCAACAACGTCCTGTGAAAGACACGAGCCAAAATCTAATCACACCCTGAACTCAACAGAGTCTGCATGAACACACAGTTAAAACCACACAAATATGCTCACACACACACATATATATGTAATGAGTACTGTTGCATTTAACTGCTATGAAAAAACACACTAACACACATTTATGGTGACATTTTACCTCAGAGGCCCACAGAGTGTTAGACCGAAGAAGCCCAGGAGGGAGATGACACAGCTGAAAACAGCATGCTTTAGTAACTTTATCCACTGCAAAGAAAACAGATTTAAATAAAAACCAGATTAATCATCACCACAGGTAGACCCAAACACACACAACCACAGAGAAAAACTGGGCTGAGCTGGATCATACACACGTTAAAGAGGAGGACTTCCAACAAACCTGTCTTTTTGAGATGACTTTTCCAGAGGAGAAAGGCTTTTGAAAGAAAAGCAGAATAACAGCACTCCTGAGAAAGGAGAAGGATCAGCGTCAGCATGTTGTCACATCCATAAAACCAACAATACAAAGAAGTAACAATACACAACACCAAGCAAGTAACAAGCATACGGAGTACTTACCCTAACTTTAATATGAAGATAAACTGGACGATGTGAACAACTTTTAGGATGTCGTAAGATTCAAAGATCCCGAGAGCCTTGAGGACCTTCGTGACAACCAGTAAAACTATGTACCTAGTTAATCTGAAGAAGAGGGAGAACAAGGACAAAGAAAATGTGTGAGTACAGTCGGTGGATTTTTGATAATCCACTGATCTGCTGACATACAGATCACTAAAGCCTTTAATGTTTGTAGTGCGTATGAATCTTGTATCTTGTGTATTATTTATATCGATTATAGCACCAACTTTCGTTCCTGTGTACTCTGTATGTGGACATGGCAATAAACAACCTTGAACCGTGATCGTTAAAGTTATTTTTACAGCAGAAAGTTCAAACTTGTTCCAGCTTCTCAAATGTGAGGATTGGCTCATTTTCTCAGAGCTCAGACATTGGGTTATGTGATGGGAATTATTCACTATTTTTGACATTTACAGACTAAACAACTTATCAATATTTAGTATACTGAACACTGAGACACATGAAGCTCTAATTTAGTTTCAGCTGGTGATGTGGGCTTAAATCAACCAGCCTAAATGTGACATACAGCCTTAAACTACAGTGCTCTGTCTAAAGGGCAAGACAATACAAGCTATAGCTCAAACCAGCTGGATGGTTTAGTGGAGGTTTAAAAACAGACACATACCTAGAGTTGGGCACCTCCACCATGCCCAGTTTCCCCCCCGAGAGGACGTTGCTGCTGTATTTCTCCTCCATCTCCTCCACCGGTTCAAAGGTCCAGCTGCTCTGTTTACGTCCCCAGCTTCATTCACATACCTGTTCCCAAACCACAGCCCACTTACACAATGTGCCCAGGCTTCTGCTCACTCACATTCATGATTCCGTCTAAACTAAATGTGTTTCAATAAAGTTCACACAGAATAAAGCTGCAGGCAGCCGGCAGCCCTGTTAGCCTGTTAGCCTGCTGTTATGGCAGTTACAGTTTCCGGCAGCAGCACGTCCTCTGTGTACGCTGGACGTCAGGCAAACACATGTGGTCGCTTAATGGGCGAAAGACTTTGAACAGTTTCAGGTTGAGCTAAGCGCAATAACAGCTGGAGTCCGTGATGAAAGGATAAAACACCTAACTAAACAGCCGCCGCACTTCCGGACACGGTAAACAATCCACGTCACGTGCGTGTGATCGTCAGCGTTGCGCCTGCGCAGTTTGCACCAGAGCCAGACTAGCGGGTGATGACGAAGACGATGGTGGATGGTGGAAATAGTTATGTGCTTGTGTTTTACTCTCATTTAAATTGTTGGTGTTTCAGGTTTCAGGTATTGTTATCTGAGGTAAATGGGTAATGTTATTTTATGGAAGCACATTTTCACCAGACATGTTAGGAATTACAAAAGATTTGATCAAAGTGTCAAAATATTGACTTGCTATCTCATTTAGAATCTCATAAGTTTGTCTTAAATCAAAATGTCATAATTTGACTTACAAAGTCAACATTTAGACTTGATATTTCATAGTCATGACTAAATGTAGAAAGACTTGTGGCAGTGGTTCATTGTCAGAGACTCATGGGATATGTTGTTGCATTTATTTCCAATTAAAATAATTTCCTGGTGTCTTGCTCCACCTTTCTTCTCTTCCTAATCATTTACTTATTTTTCATTTGTTAGAATAAATCAATAAGTATGTAGAGAAATTTGCTCAACATACAAGTGGGCATAGCCTAAACAACACCAAACAACAGAAAGAAGCTTTATATGTTTTTATTTCTCACAGGAGGGTTTTTAAAAAAAGATTTTTCCCCAGTATTTGCAATCGATGAGTCGACCTCATCCCTCTGATGTTATGTGGAAACGGACATAAAGATTTGAATAACATTTTATACATACATTATGAATGAATATAACATTGATGAGCATTTTAAAACTTTAAGGAAAAATATCATACTCCACCTCCCCTTTTGTGTCTTTTAGATTAGTTTCTCATATATGTTATTAAACTTTTGACTACAATTTACTCCCAAAGGGGAAATGATTATTACTGACAACATACACAAGCTGTTATTACCACTAGCAGTGTGTTTTTGGCAGAAAGAGAGTATGATACAGTATGCTTATCTGATTGTTCGGGGGATAACATCAACTCAATAAAGACAGACTGGTCACGTTAGTCGTAATAATTTGGAGAAATGTAAGATTTCAGTGGCATCCTCAACTTCCAGTAAAGTTGTTACAACAGAATTTCAATGAGGTCCACACAGTCCAAGCAGGATGTCCCGATAATGTCCCTTAGTGTCTTTCTGTGAAACAGAGACAAAGACGTGGTCAGCTGAAATACTCTGATACAGTATTGTCATTTGTTTTTGTACTGAATGAGAGAAGTGAAAACTCAAACACTTCATCGGTATGTCATTTTACCACTATGTCCTCCTGTAGGTTGACATCATACATGGCCCTGTATTGCTCCAAGATCTTCTTCAGGTCGATCTCAGAGCGGCTCACCAGCACCCTGGTCAGTGTGTCCTCGCATGTGCCGTGGCCCTGTGAGAACAAAGCAGAGGCTCGATCACTGAACAGGTAGAGAGCATGAGTGTCTGCACATCTCCTCACTCAGAGTTACACACTGTGCTTAGTTAAGGGTTCTCATTCAATATTTGTATGTAAGCTATGTTCCATCACTACAGTCTACATCTGTGTATGGTTGGTTGCATAACCAATCCCTACAGTTATGCAGTGTTTTCCAAACACTGACAATATTTATGGTGGCCACAGCTACACAACAGGGATTTGTTTACAGGCTAGCCTGTCATTACTAATGTCAGTTTTCACATATTTGCATGTGAGCGCAGCTTATTATGGCAGACTTTTCAATTGATTTGCACTATTCAAACAACTTCCCAAGCAGGCACTGGAAAGAAAGACATAAATACAATAATTAAGAAATCCTTGACCATGTCACTCTAAGTAGGAAAAATAATGCAAGAGAGAGATTCATACAAACCTTCATTGCCAAATGGAGCTTCTCAGCGAAGAAAGCTGGTGTGTTCCAGGAACATTTCACTAAATGTCAAAAAGATACAAAAACATTATGAAAATATGCACCGTCCAGCTGCTGTGTCTGACAGCTCACAGTGTTTCTCTGTTTACTTGTCAGCAGTTATAGTTCATCTTGTGAAGTTTTGCATTCAGGCTAAAGTAGTTCAGAAGATGGCCTTGTGCCAAACCCTGGGTACTAGAATGAGCAGAAAGTATCATTGGGTTAGGGTCTATCCAGTGTTCATATCTGTTGGTTCATACATGTCTCTTCACTTGAGCTTGTTGAGCTGGAATTATTTTTTTAATTTGCGCATTTGAGTTTTTTAACACTCCCTTTGTTTATTCTGGTTCTTTATGGATGTCCTCCTTCCAGCGCCTGGATACCACATGTTGAATGACTTAACAACAAAACAGTTCATTTATGTTTGAGTTAAAGCCATTTGTTAAACAGTTAGCAGTGGTTCTTTAGCATGAAGTCCATCCATCTGAAAATAATTCCCATGACCTTTTATCTTGCTCCACCTACTGGACTTCATTTTTGGCTCATAATTTTTTAATTCGTTCTGTCCGACATTTGAACGATGAACAGCAGCCTGTAGCATTGTTGTGGAGCAACACGGTACCATTCAGTGCTTATCAGTGATAAAAATGAATGCGTTAAAGCCCATGAAAATAAAGTATTCCTGTATTTGGTTTGTAAGTTTGGAAAAAAAAACATCCATAGCTATTATTTGTTAAGAGATTAACACTAAAAAGCTCAACTGATGTGCTTCATCAGGACTGTGTGGGTGTGGTTTGATCACATTTGGTTGACAGTGGCCCGGCAACATTCTATAACTATATTTATACACAGACAGGTGATAAATTAAAGGAGAAATAAATGAGTGGAGAAACATGACAAATGCAGATGCTTCCATACAGGACACTAGGGGTCATTGAATGGTTTGATGAGAATGAAAATGATGTGAATCAGATGAACACCTCTGGAGAATGGTGATGGTTTCAGGAACTAGGAGGTTTGTATTGGTATTTAAATGTTCACCCATCTGTATCTCATATATTGCTAAAACCTGACTGGTGCACAGAGATGCATGATATCACCCTTTTCCAACTAAGCCATTTCTCTTCAAACAAGTGAGAAAAAAAGCACAGACAAAAACACAGATCAGACAGATACAAAATTACATACATAAATCTCTCAACAACTCTTCTAATTTTGGCACAAAAGGTTTCAACATGTTCATGAAGGAGAACATTTCCCACAATAAGAGACTGACTGAAATGTTTTTCAGGCCCTTTTAAATGAGTTCTGCATGTACTGCAAATAATAAAATTCTCCTTACCAATGTCAGAGAGACAGTCTTCAATGTCTCCCTTCAGCTTCATGTCCAGGGCTTTAGGTAATGTGATGTCACTGACGCACGCGTATTGCTGGAATGCTAGCAGGTGAACAGACAAACAGGTATTTATGGGTAAATGGGCTCCCTGTCAGACACAAAGCTGAGGACTCTCTAAAAAGTCAAGTTCCTGGAAGTTAAAATAACAGTATTCATACACGCTGCAACCCTTAGCACTCAATTCGGATTTATTGCTCAGATCCGATTGTCTTTGTTTGGCTGTTCACATTATTTGTTTAATGTGTCCCATATCAGATTCCAGTATGATCATGGTACTGAAGTGACCCGCATAAAATGCAGACCTATA